CCCCATATTCAGCTCTGCTGCTGGTTTTACTCGAGTCCACAAATGGAAAGGGGAGAGAGGTACAAGTTGTAGAATTTTTGGTCTTTGATGTTGCCCCTCTTACCATTTTGCTGTAGACCTTAGATATAGGTCATATGTCTGTATAGCCCTGCAGTTGTCTTTAGTAAATTTTAGATTTGCTCTAAACATCTTGTACACAAGTACATTTGAAATGCCTCTGCAGATGCATAAAGCCTGGGGCCACAGTACTACAAAAGAGATGTTGGATGCATGTTCCTCTATGACTACACCTGGAATGTACATGAATAGACGGGACACTATGCACATCCTAGCGGGCATACTTGATCATACAGAACACATAACCTGTATTCTTCTGCATTATCGCAGGCCCTGTTGTAGAACCGGCAGACTCCCTTCTATTTTACTGCTAGTGTTGTAAATGAGTACACAAGGGAGTGTGCATTTTTACTGTGCATATTTATGCATCTACAGACAGCAATTTCTCCTGTGAGCAACAAGCTGTATGATAAATGATGAGAAGAGGGTGCTAGTTCTGTGGAATACTTTGAGGTTAAATGAGCTGATGGAAAATATAAGACAAAAATGAATGCAGCTATATAGACTAAGTGGCCAGATTATTATGACCACCTGACGTTTGTAGGGAAATTAGCTATAATTTTGCGCTGAAGTTGCTAGAGGGCCAGACCATTATAAATAGGGAAGCAGGTTGTTTACCACGACAGTAGAAGTGATTTGTTTCTGAAGATATGGGTAAACAACGCGATTTAACAGGCTTTGAATGTGGGATGATTGTTGGCGCTCGTGCCATGGAGCGAGTATCAGCAAAACAGCAGAATTCGTTAAATGTTCAAGAGGGGCTCATTGTTAGTGTTTACAGACTGGACTGTCACCCGTAAATCTGGGTCTGAACATGCGAATTGTGGCCGTCAGCGACTAGTCAATGTTAGGGCAGAACGGAGAGTGGCAAGACTGGTACAAGACAACAGAAGGGCAACAGTGCAGTGTCAGATTCCTCGCATCACCTTTCAACATCTCGTGGAGTCACGAGGCGGCCCAACGGAGTCATCTCGTGGCCCAACGAAGTACTGATGGGGTGGTCATAATAATCTGGCCACACAGTGTTTTCATTAATAAATGCATCTTTTAAATTAAACCAGTATGAGTACCACATTTTCCTTGGTATCAGCCTCCTGCAATTCGCTGTACAGCAGTATTCAGACTGGAAGAGGGGAGGCAAACAGTCCTTTGTGTGCGCTGCATCAAGCAGATGGGAGGAGAGGGCAAAGGGATGACCTGATCAGTCTTCTGCTCCTTTTTCACTACCCAGTCAGAAGACTGTGGGTGGAGAGATGACACCTCCATATTTCCTTACTGTAACAGAGGAGCCACCTGACTGGGTACAAAGGAAAATTGTACAGAGATTGCATGGTAAGATTTTAAGGTGTGTGTGTGGTCAGCTTCAAGTCCTTGCACTGCAAGGGTTAATAAGGTATGATACTTGCCGTATTCCCCAATGTAGCACTCTACCCTTTGTAACCGGATCTTTGCCATCCTCGCGTACAATGCAGGACTATCGGCCATGCATTGAACTCGACGTCCGTGTGTGACCACCAGCCGGCTGTGTCTTACAGAACATGTTTCTGGGATCGGTTGCACAGTTGGAGGGAGGCTGCTGGAGCAGGGACCTT